CCTTATGGGAAAATTTGATTCGGTTCGCGACCAGAGTCGTGGAACAAATTAAGTTCGCGAACCGAGGTACCACTGTACTTTCTTCCTTTATCTCCCTTTTCTGCATCATCTGAAGCTCTGTAAATGACTATGGCTCTGTTCTATGGAAAGCCATGGCCAGGCTTAGCAGCTGAGATGGAGAGGGATCAATGACACAACTATCTCACATAGTGTTAAACAGCTCACAATAAATAGCTGATATGTATCTGCTTTCTTTCCCCTTGTTTGACACAGCTCTCAGTTTGGAGCAAGTCTAGGCTCAAGCAGTTGCTAATCTTTTAAAGCACTGATTGCCAACATAATGACTATCAGTAAAACTTGGAGCCTGTTCATTCTCAACAAGCAAAGGGTGCTTTTAAGGTGCGAAAGTGTACAAATGAATTCAGTGAGTCTGAGTCCATCTACAAGGCCCAGAAAGTGGGTTTCAAAAATAACAAGCAAGTCTTTTTAACGCTACTAACAGCACAGCAACCACAAAAAATCAAACACACAGAGAAACACAAATTATCCTCAGCTGTTGTTTATGTTTCATATTATGCTGTTATTTGCTTTTAAATGTCATAAGCTGCCCAGAGTCACTATTAGAAGATGGGCAGCTGTATAAATCGAAGAAATCAATCAATCAAATAAAAATAAACTAACATGGTAGGATAACGTTCTCCTTACTTGCGAATACTCTGGGACAATGAGGTTTGCCTATGCAAGGCAGGGGGTCTGTCAGAGCTGCTGTCCTGCCTCTTCAGTCTCGACTCTTGGAGGCTCACACTCTTTTGAAGAGCTGGGTTTTTTTTCAGAAGCTAAAAAGAGACATTGAGGTCATTAGCAAGAAAGACGGGGAAGAAGGACTGATCCAGAGACCACTCAACTAACCACACAAATTATGAATACTCAAGAAGTCATGCTCCCTGATCAAGGAGGAATCAGGACCTTTCTCCAGTTCTTGGCTAGATAAGCTGGACAAGCTAATTGGACAGACATAGATATTTGTGAGGGCAAAATGGTACCTAGATCAAATTACACCCTTGCCTCTGAAGCAGTTTATAACCTTAGGGACCAGTGAAGAAGGCAAAAAATGTAATGGAATAAGGGATGGGGTGGGATGGAATTTTCTACTACTGTGCGACATTCTACTACTGGGTGACATTCAGAAAAAGGCTCTGTAGAATACCAAAGAACTGGCTGGAGCGTACAAAAGATTTTACCTTGTACTGCATTTATATTATCCCTTCTCCCTGGTCACTAGCTAGTGAGCACTCACACAGTATGCACAGTAGAACACACAACACTTTTAAATGGTGCAAGACAGCAAGTCAATGCAATAAAAGCTAAGGTAACCTAATTGGCTGATTATCTTTGAAAGATTATTATAGTGACTTTTTGGAAGAAGTTCTATCTCAGGACAGATTGCCTGCATCCAGGGACGGTTTAATGAAACATAATGCTTAATTCTGATCACTGGGATCCAATTTAGCTTCAGCCTCTGACAACCACCCTATAAAGAGTGAATTATCAATGTTCTTCATCCTTGCTGAGTCAGCAGAATATCATGTGGCAGTTCTGTTTAAGGTAACACACACCTGGTCCGGGCAAGGTAAGTTGGCAGATCTTCCTTTGGGTTGCCGTCTTGACAGAATTGCTAGACATTTTGCTGACCAAGTCACTTGTATTGGCTTGGAGCTGGACGCCACATTGAACAGGACCCAGGTAATTAACTGTAGCAATATCAGGGAAGATTCTGGAGAAGGTGGTAGATGCAAAAGATCCTGACTGAAGCAGATTACTAGAATCCTTTCAGTCTGGGTCCAGGACATTGGATGGAAATTGCACCATCATTCTTGTGGATGACCAGGATTGAAACTTGATTGATGGGTGTGCAGCTCCTGTTTTCCTATTAGATCTCTTAGCAATGTTTGACGCTATGGAGCATTGTATCCTTCTGCACAAGGACTGGGAGTTAGGAGCACTGAATTAGAGTGGTTCTACTCCCTTTTAAGTGCCAATATGTTAACACCAGTCTATGATGGTGGGATTGAACAGTTCAGCCCACGGTCACTCCCACATGGGGTGTGAAAGCCAATTCTTGGAGAGTCACAAACCATAGCCTAATATCAGATCACTTTCAAGAGTGAAACATTATATGGAATATTTGGGAAGTGTTTTAACTTAGAGCAACTTGCTTTGAAGGACAAAACACTGCTTTGTGCTTGAAACAGCCTGACTCACACTTGAAACAGGATGTTTTGATTTTTAAACAGTTTTTGCACCACTTTAATGCACAATAATAAGAGTCATTTTTCCACACAGCAAGTAACACTGGAAATCTCACAGTTAATAGACATTTAAGAATCTCAGTAATTCATACCACCTTTTGGCTACTTTCCTCTTCTGTCTTCACTGGTGGGATTGTGATAGAAAGGTTGGGGGGCTTCTTGCTCTGAAGTCGACTACCGCTGGTGCTAGAACGGCTGCTTCCATTCTTGTTGCTGTCTGCCATCTTGGATTATTAGTATTAGCCTACCTGTAATGAGGAAAGAAACAAAGAATTTACAACTGAGCACTCCCTCATGTTCATTTATTAAAGACAACCTTCCCCGCATTTAAAGGCATCCTCCAGATGTTAAGCTTGTAACGTCTAACTCCCCCTGCCCCAGCCAGCAGAGGAGTGGCAGGTCCAACATACTTGGAAAGCTCCAGATTGGAGAAAGGTGACTTAGGGAGTGTGATGGATCAGTAGAATAACATACTAGACATCCTTTGGGCAACAACTATAGCTGTTTTCAGAGAGGCAGAGCAGCATGTGCAAAGGATTAATTAATTAGTTTAATTAATTAGTTTTGATTTGCAGGGCTGCGTTTCTTACCACAGCAACTCTAGGTGGCTAACAATAGATAAAACAGCATTGAAACAACATAAAAATCCTAAGGATAGCTCAGGTAAAAAAACCGATTAACAATAATGCAAAACCACAACTAAATGGATTTCAACTAACTATTCAGCCCCCAGCTCAGGAACACACAATTTAGACATGCATGAACCAGAAGGCTTTAGCTAATTGGCATATCTATATACTACTAAAACTCTCATGTCTGTAACCTTCAACTGGGCAAAACAGTGCATCACAGGGCAACAATTTTTGAACCAAGGTACCTCAAATGGACTAACTTACACAATGCGTCCAAAATTCAGGACCCATGACTCCTGTGGGATTGAAATTTGGGGAATTTGTGGCTGCTTCAGCACTCCTGTGCTGCCACGCCATTGCGGTCAGCCCAGGTCATGTGATCATCATGGGTGTATCCCCAATCTCTTTCCTGCCTCCCTCTGTCCTGGGCACCCAATCAGCTGGTGGCAAGGCCTGATGGGCGAGTGGCGATTGGCTGCTTTGGAAACAAGGCAGAAATTTGAAATCTCTTAACAGCAGTGGGCATTGAGGGAAGGATGAGGGAGTGACTTGGGTGCCTGCTGGCGAGGTAGGGCTGGCTGGGGGGCACTGGTGATAGACGGGTGAGCCCTCTTCCTCCCTCAAGGGAGGGAGCCCTTGGGGACATGCTGGAATGGGGAGTGGGGGTGCAGTTTTCCTCAGAGTCCACAGCTCCTTTTGTTCCACCTCCCCCCAACAAAGTGGCAGGCAGTTCCACTGGTCAGTTGAGGAGGAGGAGAAGGCGGTGGCGGCGGCTTCACTGGGCTCTTCTGAGGGACATCAAGGGAGGGCAAATGGTGCAAGACTATATTAGATGTGGAAATGAAGGGAGGGAGGGTGGAAGGAAGGAAGAGGGAGGGAGGGATCCCTGACTTCTTTCCCACCTTCCTCTGGACCCTGTGCCCAACTGGCTGGCGGCAAGGCCTGATGGGTGAGCGGTGATTGACTGCTTTGGAAACGAGGCTGAAACTTGAAATCTCTTAACAGGGAAGGATGAGGGAGCAACTTGGATGCCTGCTGGCGAGGTAGGGTTGGCTGGGGGGTGCCAGTGGTCAATGGGTGAGCCCTCCTACTCCCTCGAGGGAAGGGGCCCTTGGGAACATGCTGGAAGTGGGGGATGCAGTTTTCCTCACGATCCGCAGCTCCCTTTGTTCCACCTCCCCCCAGCAAACTGGCAGGCAGTTCCACAGGGCAGTCGAGGAGGAGGCGGCTTCACAGGGGCTCTCCTGAGCGTTGTGAGGGGAGGGCAAATGGCGCGAACCTATAATGTGGAAAGGAGGGAGGGAGGGAGGGAAGGAAGGAAGGAGGGAGGGAGGGAGATTTCTGCCAGCTTCCCACAAGCAAAGTCAATAGGGAAGCCAGCAGCAAGTCACAAGTCACTCACATTCCCACTGCTTTTTTGCCCCTGGTCATTCTGTTTCTCTGTTTAGGTAAGGAAATATCTCTGAAACGATGACCCAACAGGTCACGGGTTGTCTAGTCAATATTTATTTCTGTTTAATTCATTTGTATCCTGCCTTCCTAAGTTTACTAAGCCTGTAAAGAGGATTTCAATAAAAACAATGTCTTTTTTTACATTTCTTCAAATCAACTTTAAATTTAAGTAACTTTAAGGCATTACTCTCCTTAAATCTGCAAGTTTTTTCCCCAGGGACCCCGCAGTCCTGTTTCTTTTTATATAAATTGCCCCTACACCCACACACACACACGCACACACACACACATCCCCAAGGGAGTGTAAAGCCTCTCCCTTTCTAAGGGTGTTCTTGTACAGAAATCCCATGTTTGCTTGAAGCCTGGCAAACACCATCCCCTCAAGGGACTATGCCATTCATCCTACATATCTATACCAATCCTTTTACAAAGTTTTAAAAAAAAACACTTCAGTTGTTCACTGATTTCCAGAAGGAGTCACAGAAATGAAGTTGCAGTTTTTCTATAGTGAGATTTGGATTCAGGTTTGAATCAAAGCTGGTGGCTTCTGAAACAGTACATCCCCCAAGTAGGCTTCTTTCAACCTGCCAAAGCGGGATCAGTGGTTAGTTTATACACCTTACCAGAATTTGCACTTATTTCAGAATTGAAACTTTCCTTCAGTCATCCTAGCCTGTTTACACAAGGGACCTTCAAGAATGAAAATTAATAATCCTGGCTTATTCACGTTGACCAGTAGTTGTATTATTCTCTGCAGGAAGAAGGAACCTTCGGAGAATAAGAGCCATGCTATAAGGAACAGGATGGAAAGGCTCTGGATGGGATTTGCAATTACTGATTGGGTCAGCTAGGGTTTATAGTGCCACTTAAGTGACCTCACCAGCTCTACTACTGAAGCTATTTAGGTTAGGCTGTCTAAGCCTTGTGACCTATTAATACTAGCATGGGAAAAGCTAACCGCTCCTAACAGCTTACACAATGGTCAAATAATATCTTATACATATGTAGCATGCAGATGGTGACCAGTTATTATATACATCAGATCACAACAGGAGTCTCAAAGGCTCCACTAAAAATCATACCTACTTTTGTTCACTCAGTCCTTAATGTGGACAATGCTGTACTTTATATCCAGAGGAAAGAAGATTCCCCACCTTATCTTTACAACCAACTACTCACATTCTAATATGATAAAAATTATATGTTACAAGAGCTCTAAGAAAGATACTGGTTCACCAATGCCATTAACAGCATTAAAGAGCCATGTGCTTACCAGAGTTGCAGTGGCAATAATAATTATATTTCAGCAAGTTGGGATAAAAATAAAAGGTCTCCTTCAAGACAAGCTTCACTGGTGACCTCACAGACACCTTCATGTAACTTTCTTCAAGGTGTTACATTCCTGGGCAATGTTATGGAAATAGTTTGTGACTGCCTTGTTCCAGGATGTTTTTTTTTTTAAATTTCCTAATCTCATTTACACCTCTGGGATTTGCTAAAGGTCTCCCATTCAAGTACTAACCAGCTCAACCCTGCTCATTTTCCAAGCCCAACAAAGGTCAGCCAGTGGCTGAGGTCAAGTTGCTATGATTCATATGAACAGCACAGCACCAATCTGCTAAAGAGACAAAGGATGACAGTGGAACTAATAGAAAAGAAGAATCTACCCAGCCAATTCGATCTTGCAGGGTTGGCATGCTCTGGGTTCCTTCTATTAATGTCATCTATCAGGAGCCTGGAAGTGTGTCTTCTCTGTAGCAGCACCTGCCTTCTGGAATGAGGTTCCCCTGAGATCTGGATGGCCCCCACTCTGCTTTTGTTTGGAAGAGCCATGAAGATTATCTATCCAGTCTGTCATTCTTGCCATATTGTGTCTTCTTTTTTCCTTCTTCGTAATTAGTTAAATAACTTCGTAATTTCCTTGTTTTGATTGTTGTGAACCCCCCAGAGTTGTCAGAATTTGGGCAGCATACAAGTTTGATAGATCAATGAATGAATGAATGAATGAATGAATGAATGAATGAATCTGCAGAAATTCTGAATTCATTCTTAAGTTTTTAAAAAATAATTAATTAAGATTCTGAAAAGCTGAGACAAATAGTGGTGAGCCTTACTGGGCCTTACTGACAACAAATTGATAGTTAACCAATCACCAGATGGCATTCATCTGAGGAGTCTTAAAGATCTCTCATATGAAATTGCTGGTCTTCAGAAAAAGATATGCAAAAGGTCACCAAAACTGCCTTCTATACTAGAGGTTTCAAAGTGTCCTCTGTAACAACAATTTTTAAAAAGGGACTTGGAAAGATCTAGTAAATTGCATAATTTGTTTAACATCTATTCTAGGTAATTTACTGGAAAGCATTATTAAAGATAAAATGATCATTTAAACAAGTCTGTCTTTTGAGAAAGTACAGTGTCTCAATAATCATTCAGGGTTTTTACATCAAAGGAATATGGGTACCCGTCATAAATCAACTATGGAATCCACTTCCGGAAGGTATAATGATGGCCATAAATTTAAAAGAGTTGACAATCATGAAGGTCAACATATACTCTCTCTACATCAGAAGCATCAGAAGACCAAGCATTCCAGAACATGAAGAGGAAGCAAGACCTTGCAATTATGCCCTGCTTGGGGAATTCACAGAAATCCAACTGACTTTCACAGAAACCTGGATGCTGGACCTAATCTAATAAACTCTAAGAATGGAAAACTCAGTCCCGCAGCCACAAAACAAAAACATGGAAGTTTGTTCCCATCCTCACATAAAACCTTAACTCTTTCCCACAGACTTTATTTCCTTTCCTCCATTCCTTTCCTCCAAATAAAACATATTTTATTTCCATATTTTAAACTGTGGTCAAACCATCAGAAATGAAATGAGGATCTCCCTACTCCAGCCTTCTTTAAAGGGACCTGCAGTAAGTTGGGATTGCAATGCTCAGAATTCCCAGTGCAGCTCTGTTGGCTGGCGATCAAGAAACCTGCAGTTCCAGCATACTTGGAGGACGCCAGTTTGAAACAGCTTCTCCATTCAGTTCTAGCAGCTGGGAAAGCCTACATGTTAGAAGGTGCTAGAAGGTTCATAAGGTGCTTAACCAATGCTGTGCTAATGTTCAGAAAATAGTCCAATGCCAACTTGTGCTGAATCCTAAGATAG